CAGTGGGTTTGATCCAGACTAGCAGTGAAGTCCTACAAGTGTCTGTTCACGAGTAACCTTTAATTAGTTCAATGAGACTTATTCTCAGGGTAATTGTGTTTAGGAGCACAGTCTTTTAGCTGAACATGAGTTCCACAGTGTGAAAAGTTAGCCATAGTTAAACCTCAGCAAGTTTAATAGAAATAAGGTAAAGGTAAAGGTACCCCTGCCCGTATGGGCCAGTCTTGACAGACTCTAGGGTTGTGCGGCCATCTCACTCAAGAGGCCGGGGGCCAACGCTGTCCGGAGACACTTCTGGGTCACGTGGCCAGTGTGACATTGCTGCTCTGGCGAGCCAGAGCCGCACACGGAAATGCCGTTTACCTTCCCGCTAGTAAGCGGTCCCTATTTATCTACTTGCACCCAGGAGTGCTTTCGAACTGCTAGGTTGGCAGGCGCTGGGACCGAACAACGGGAGCGCACCCTGCCGCGGGGATTCGAACTGCCGACCTTTCGATCGGCAAGCCCTAGGCGCTGAGGCTTTTACCCACAGCGCCACCCGCGTCCCTTTAATAGAAATAAAGCACAGCTAATTTATGGGTAAATGGGACGCGGGTGGCGCTGTGGGTAAAAGCCTCAGCGCCTAGGGCTTGCCGATCGAAAGGTCGGCGGTTCGAATCCCCACGGCGGGGTGCGCTCCCGCTGCTCGGTCCCAGCGCCTGCCAACCTAGCAGTTCGAAAGCACCCCCGGGTGCAAGTAGATAAATAGGGACCGCTTTCTAGCGGGAAGGTAAACGGCGTTTCCGTGTGCGGCTCTGGCTCGCCAGAGCAGCAATGTCACGCTGGCCACGTGACCCGGAAGTGTCTCCGGACAGCGCTGGCCCCCGGCCTCTTAAGTGAGATGGGCGCACAACCCCAGAGTCTGTCAAGACTGACCCGTACGGGCAGGGGTACCTTTACCTTTTTAATTTATGGGTTGGTCCAGCCCATAAGGTTATAACTGCACTGTGCCAATCAAATAGCACCCTAAGTAAAACAGCAATCCCTGCAGAACAAGCACTTAGGCAAGCTGCAACAAAATAGTGGTGTTTGCCACATGTACATTTATGAAACCTTGAGGACAGAGATGCTTTTGAGAAGGGCAACCAGTTTTAGTTGGTCCTGCAGGAATAATGTACTGATTTCGAAAGGCAATTTCAGTGCTACACATTATTTTGAAACTCAAGACAATCACCATGACTCTAAACATGTTTGCTTAGAAGCAAGCCCCACTGAGATTAGGATTGCAGCCACAGTCTCTCCACATTGCCCTTTTGCCATTCAAAATTGAGTAACAATTGAACAACCATAACAATTTATCAGGGCACAACGCTTTTGGCATAACAAAGTCTAAGACTAGGAACCTCATTTCAAAAATGAGGTTTGTATATGCAGAACAATACAATAAGTGAAAGGTCCCAGAAGTAATAACAATAACATGCTTTATCTCTAGAAGGGCAACATTCTGATAAAGTTGTTCACTGTTTATTCTGATGACATGCAGTAACCTAGAACTCTTATCACATCCACTAGGATGTTCAACAATGGAACTTTTAAAGAGGAAAAAGTCATTCACTGTACAGCATATATTATGTATACATTTTGCTAAGCTAAAGGTTTTATCCTACAAGTTACACAAGGAAAGATTTAAGTACTTTTGAGGCAGGATCTAGATGCCCTTACCCTTACTAAGTACAAGATGCTACAGAATCTGTCACAGAACATTGGTAATATATTTATGGTAAATGTAAAGACCCCTAGATGGTTAAGTCCAGTCAAAGGCAACTACGGGGTTGCAGCACTCATCTCGCTTTTAGGCCGAAGGAGCCAGCGTTTGTCCACAGACAGCTTTCCAGGTTGTGTGGCCAACATGACTAAACTGCTTCTGGCACAATGGAACACCATGACGGAAACCAGAGTGCATGGAAACACCGTTTACCCTCCCGCCGCAGCCGTACCTATTTATCTACTTACACTGGCGTGCTTTTGAACTGCTAGGTTGGCAGGAGCTGGGACAGAGCAATGGGAGCTCACTCCATCACAGAGATTCGAACCGCCGACCTTCTGATCAGCAGGCCCAAGAGGCTCAGTGGTTTAGACAACAGTGCCACCTGCATCCTTTACCATATTTATGTGATGTGGCAAATGAACTTTATGAACTGTGCTGACTTGTTAACTGCTTTCTTAGAAACCAGTGTCATGCTGATGCTCAGTGCTCCTAAGCCAAGATACATTTGTGTGCACCAATATGCATGCAGCCCAAGACTGTTATTTGGGATAGAGACCAATTTCACTGACATGCAAAGAGAAGGATGAGCCCACTTCCATATTGTGAATGGAAGCTGTATTGGATCCCCAACCAATCTGTCTGTGGAGTTCCCAGCTGAGAAAGAGAATTTGTGAGCAGAAGCTGCTTTCAAAGGTTAATCCCATCAGCAGTACTTGAGGATTTAATTTTTTTTTTTTGTTTAAGCTTTTCAGAATATTGAATATTCTTGACAAAACACCAACGGCTCAGTTCATGATTATGGAAGAAAGTTTTCCCATTGCAGAGAGAGAGGTCTGGTAGGTGGATACTGTTTTGTTTAAAGAAAACAGCTATTTTCCACTGTACTTCATACGTGTGTCACCAACTTAAATAAAACAACAATTATTATCTGGGAACATATCAAGCAGTGAATGAGAACAATGCATACTGCTATTTTTATTATTACTGAAAAATAATAGAACAATGTGAGGAAATATGAACTTCTTAAGCTTATACGAAAAAAAATCAACCCTCCGCTGATGTAACCAGAAAAAGTCAACAAAGCACATTAACCTTTGAGGAGTAATGTGGGAGTTGTTGCTAACATCCCTTTTACTTCTCAAAGCAGGCTGCAGCTTGGACACAAGCTAATTGAGTGAATTTGTTAACAGAGATAAGAGTAGCAAGAACTCACAAGGGAGTTTCAACAGGTTCGTGTTGGGGAGGTTTGGTGTTTTTTAGTTTTTGTTTAAGACCAAAGCATGCACTGGGTATGGGGTTGTTTCTGTCTTCTGATCAACCCCCCACCCCAATAACTGAAGCCTGCTCATTATGCTTGACCATTAACACCAATCTGCTGAATTTGTTTTACAAATAAGCTCTGTTCTATTGGCTTTAGTTCTCAACTGAAAGTGCCATCACGGAATACACATGCAATTCCACAAATGACTGTAAGGCTATTGCTATTCCTCCTTTCCACCCCTCTTCCTGGAGTGTCAGCCTGCCATTAAAATGCAAATACAATGGCCTTATTAGCTAGCAAACAACCACCCACTGACCTTCTACAGAGGGAAGGCATCTTTTCCTTCATTGTTTTAAAAATGCATTTGTGAATCTATAACAGCCAGACGAGTCCTATTCTACCATTGCTTACCATCTCATGGTATCAGGTTTTGTATTTGCATACTCACCATGGAGGGGAAAAACATATCTCAAAATGAGATCATCAGAGTGAACGTTTCAGTGGAAAGCTGCTAAGATCACATCAGCTTCTTCCATCCCCACCACAATCAGTTTACAAAGGCAAATTTTATATAACGTACACCCAAGTACTGTTGCAGAAAGCCTGCTAAGTGGCAAAAAAGAAACACTTCCAATTCGATTAAAGCTCCCATTACAGATCTAACATATGACCTATGGGAGTGATTGGAATTAGGTTTAATGCTAAATAATAAATACAAGAAGGCACGTTTTGCATTTGACTGGCCCATTCCTGGTAGATTATGGTTTAGTAGCCTTGATCTCGTTAAATGGCAATTATTTTAAAAGGGCATAAGGAAGCTTCCCTCGTCGTCCTCCCACCCCCCGCCCACCACCCACATTGAGTAACTGGCTCTCATCACGGGATCCAGCAATTACGAAGCCAAGATAGCACAGAGAATTGCAAAGGTAGAGAAAAGAAGCCGGGGAGCAAATGTCCTCTCCAGTTCTCCCTTCCCCAGGATGGGGGGCTTCACTTTCCTTCTGCGCCCCTGACCTTGCCGTCCTGAAAAGTCCACAGCCCCCCCTCTCTCTTCCCCCCTCCCGCCCTCTCTCTTGGACTGCGCCTGCCTTTGTGTCTGCTTGTCACTCACCGGTAAACCAAATGAGAGCTGATTCATGAAAAGCACAAAGCCGGGGGAAAAAAACACTTTCACACATTAAAAATCTCGCTCGCACGCACGCCTCTCTAACCCGCTGCGTCCAGGCAGAACGTCCCTGCCCTCTAACGCTAGGCACCTCTCAAGAGTTTGCTTTTGCCCAGAGATCACAAACCCTCTTCCACTTTATTCCTTTTAAAAAAAAATAAAAATAAGGGCATATACTCTTAAAGTTTTGGTCACATAACCCTATCATCGATTTATTTATTTTTTGTAAAGCGACCCTCCGCAAACTTGCTTTCCCCAAGGCCACTTGGGAGTCTCTTTCCAGAATAAAGCCCGGACGCGATTAAGAACTCAGCACGTGTGTAAGCGAGAACACACGTTTAAAGGGCGGTTGCAACTGGGGGTGAGGAGTGTAGCGTGGACGCGAAGAGGAGGAAAAAGAAGGGCAATTTTATAAGACAGAAAAGAAAAAAAAACTTAAAGCAGATCGACTTCTCTGTCCAACAAACACAAAGGTGGGAGGGGGGGAGAGATTCATCCACCCCAAACCCAAGTAGCTAAAACAGCAAAGTTCACAAGGCGAAAGCTACACACATACAGGGGGAAATAGAGGGGGGAAGGAACCCCCAAAATAGCTTCGAATTTTTCTATTTGTCAGCCATGTTGGCGGAGCTGCTGTAATTTTCTTTTCCATTTGGACCCGCGGAGAGTTGTGTGTGTGTGTTTCTTTCCCTAAAAGTCACACCAAGGAGCCCCACGGGCTACTAAAGGAGGTCAGAAAAGGAGAGCGTTTCGGAACGCGGGGAAAGGGAAAGAGAGACAGAGACAGAGAGAGGGAAGAAGGAGAGAGAGAGAAGCGCGCCTCTGACCTCTTTCCAGCAGTCCCCTCCGCCTCGCCGAATCCAGCCGAAGCAATCTGCTCTCCCTGCTAACCAATCCTAAAGGGCAGCCATCTTGCTTCCTTCTGCTCCTTTACGAAAGCAGCCTAGCCTCCGCATCAATATTCATAAGGCCGTTTTGACGTCTGCTCCCTCCTCGCTCGGCGGAGCCCCAGCGTCGCTCCCAGCGGCGGACGTGACTGCCATCCGAACGAGGGCGGGAGAGGGGGAGGCTGCTGCTGCTGCTGCTGCTGCGCCGTCTCCCCAACAGCGCCAGGGCGGGCGGGCGAGCGAGCGGGCTCGGGCTACTGGCAGAGACGCCAGCCTCTCCCCCTTTGGGGGTTTTCCCACACAAAGGCGTGGGAGACTTTTTATTGGGATATCTCTATTGGGTTGTTCTAATAGGGGAGCCGGATAGGAAAGGGTGGCGTTGTAACGCGCGCGCGCGGGGGGGTGGTGTTTGGTGGATTTTATTATTATTTTTTATCACTTTTTCGGCTCTAAAAGCAGAAGGGCAGGAAATGCCAGAAAGCAGTCGCGTGTTTTTTGTGTGTGTTTGTGTGTTTTCCCAGCCCCCCCCATCCGCCCTTTTCCTTGCTGCTGCACTGCAGCCCCGATAATGTGACACAGTTGCAGACAAAGGACTCAAAACAAGGAGCTGTCATTCTTAACAGATGTTGTTTCCTGGTTAGGGAGGGAGGGCGAGCGCGTGCTCGCGCGCACGCGCGCATCCCACTCCCGGGCCCTTTAAGCAGCAAGAGGCTGCTTCTCCGACAATGGCTCGCTTGCTTGGCAAAGCGAACTTCGGCTCGGGCGCAGGCCCCGCCCCGCGATTTGCATATTCAGCGCTCGCTCGGGCGCCATTGGCTGGAAGCGCGGGCTCGGCGGTGCTTTTTAAAGGGCTGCTGCGCCCAAGTTCTCCAAAGTCCGCGGGGTTTCTCTCACCGCCTCCGCCTCCTCTTCCAGTCCCACCTCCTGTTTACGCCGGGCATGTGAGCGCACGGGGAGCAGCACGTGGATGGCACCGATCAAGGTCGGAACTCTTTGGTGGTTTGTGTTTTGCTGCAGACAGAAGAATCCGTTGGCTCAGAGAGAGTCATGAGACGGATCAGCCCAGTCCTGTGGGATCAATGGGTCCGGGCATGTTTAACTGGACTGCATGTTGCAGCATATTCATTGAAAAACCACCCTGCGTTTTGTTTTTAAGAACTTGTAAAACGAGAACAGACTGCCTTTTGTTGCACTTTAAAAAAGAAAAAAGGAGGAAAGAGAGAAAAGTTAATCCAAACCATTGGATCATTTTTGGAATGTCGTCAATGTGTGGTCAACAATTAAAAAGGATGGATACAGAGCAATATCTTCCTAAACCATACTCGGAGTAAACCTATTGCAATCCATAGGCTTAAGTTCCACCGAATGGAAATATAGGATAACATGGCAGACGCTGTAAAATTGAAACGTGTTGCACAGAAATACGCACAAGCATTAGATACAAAAGAGTAACACTGAAGCAGCACATGGAGATAGTTTGTTGCTTTGAAACTTGTTTTGCACATTTGTACTGATACAGTTTGTGTTGAAGAATTGTTTTGGTTTAAAGCATTTGTATTTTGCTGTAGAATATAACAGAGCAGGCAATAATAATATTTTTATTATTTATACCCCACCCACCTGGCTGGATTTCCCCAGCCACTCTGGGCAGCTTATAGAATGCATAAAAAACAGCAGGTGGATGGTCATTCTTAACCATATTTCATAACCATACTGAATAGTATTATATACCTGTATAATAATATGATTTATGATATGTAATAGGATGGTATATATATTGATATGGTTATTATGATGAACTAAGAAGAAGAACAGGGACGCCGGTGGTGCTGTGGGTTAAACCACAGAGCCTAGGACTTGCCAATCAGAAGGCCGGTGGTTCGAATCCCCGCGATGGGGTGAGCTCCCGTTGCTCGGTCCTTGCTCCTGCCAATGTAGCAGTTCGAAAGCACATCAAAGTGCAAGTAGATAAATAGGTACCACTCCGGCAGGAAGGTAAACGGCGTTTCCGTGTGCTGCTCTGGTTTGCCAGAAGCGGCTTAGTCATGCTGGCCACATGACCCAGAAGTTGTACGCCAGCTCCCTCGGCCAATAAAGTGAGATGAGCGCCACAACCCCAGAGTCGGCCACGACTGGACCTAATGGTCAGGGGTCTCTTTACCTTTTAAGAAGAAGAACACATGAGGGTAGATGTTGCAAAAGACACTGGGCTTCACCACTTTTCTATTGATTGTATAAACTAAGCTGACTCTAAAGGTGCAATCCTAAATCCACTTACCTGGGAATAAGCACCATTGAACACCATTGAATGATACTTCCTTTTGAACAGATGTGTATAGATAGGACTGCACTCTTCAGGCAGCAATCCCATGCAACAGAATCTGGTTTAAAGTTGCCACAGATCTAGGACCCATTCAGCAGATGCTGCTGCTGTTCTGCATAAGCCTGGCAGAGGGTAAACAAGCTTTTAAAATAGTGTGTCATACCAGGTTGTCAGGTCATGATGTGAACTGAGGAGAATGGAATTAGGATCCAGCCGAAGTACCCCATTTGTGGTCCTGCCTCTGCCACTCCCTCATAATGCCCCTTTTGGGAATTTATATTAGCCTCAGCTTTTATATTTATATTAGCCTTTGGTTCAGCTGGCTGAGTCAGAATAAGCAAATTACACCTGCAGAAAGGTAAAAAAGGTAAAGGACCCCTGGATGATTACGTCCAGCCAAAGGCGACTATAGGGTGTGGTACTCCTCTCACTTTCAGGTTGAGGGAGCCGGTGTTTGTCCACAGACATATTTCCGGGTCATGGGGCCAGTATGACTAAACCGCTACTGAAACACCTTCCCGTGCAGCGGTACCTATTTATTTACTTGCACTGGCATGCTTTTGAACTGCTGAGCCAGGATTGAGGTGTTAATGCTGGCTGATCCCAGCTGAGCTGGAAATCCTAAACTGCTCATCCCAGCAGATCTTGCCATAGGATTGCCCTTTGAATGTGTGGACATAGGGAGCAAGTCTTTCTTTCACAGAACCCTCAGAATTCCCTGTTTAAGGAGGCCCATGTGACATTCATTCAGAGCTGTTGCACATAGAGTCTTGTGCATGGCTAAAAGGTGCAGAACCTCCTCCGTTCCTTTCTTTAGAAACTTTCAGAGACGTTGCATGATCACTTCCTCCTTTGACAATTTATTCCACTGCCTGACTGTTCTTATAGTGTCTTGACAGGATTATCAAGACAATCTAGAACAGGGTGGTCCAATCTGCAGCTTGCCGGCTGCTTTTGGCAGACCTTGGCAACATTCAAGAAAATACATCTTAAAGCCTTAAAAAATTAAGTCTGATTACTTGAAATATCATTTAAATATATTAAATGTGTATTTAATTATGCATATATTTAATTAACTATATTGTGTATATTAAATCATATTAAATATATTGCCAACACTTTACGCTGTGGAAATATATTCCAGCATGTGGCTCATGGGATCTGTGTCAAAGAACTCCTGCAGTCCACTTGGTATGCAAAGCTGGACCACCCTGATCTAGAGCAACTTGGTTGAAAAAAAAGTGCCATTTTAACCTGTTTTATCCAAATCTGCAAACTGTTACTGTATCCTCCACCCTTTAATGACTCCTTTCTCTAAACTACATATACTAAGTTCTTTCAGCTTTTAAAAAATAGGCCATGTGTGCCAACAGGCCATGATGCTATGCATGTTTGCTTGAAAGTAAACCCCACCGAGATGGGGCAATGGGTCAAATGTGGATAGGATAGTACCCACACAGTTGTAATAAGTGCTGGTTATGACATGGGTAGCACTCTGGGTTAAACCACAGAGCCTAGGACTTGCCAATTACAAGGTCGGTGGTTCGAATCCCCACGATGGGGTGAGCTCCCGTTGCTCGGTCCCTGCTCCTGCCAACCTAGCAGTTCAAAAGCACGTCAAAGTGCAAGTAGATAAATAGGTACCACTCCAGCGGGAAGGTAAACGGTGTTTCCATGCGCTGCTCTGGTTTGCCAGAAGCGGCTTAGTCATGCTGGCCACATGACCCGGAAGCTGTACACCGGCTCCCTCGGCTAATAAAGCGAGATGAGCACCACAACCCCAGAGTCGACCACAACTGGACCTAATGGTCAGGGGTCCCTTTACCTTTATGACCCCTAAACCCTATATAGCTTTGGCCGCAGGCTACCTGAAAGATTATATCTCCTTATACAAACCAGTCTGGCTGCTTGATCCTTCGGTGAGCACCTTTTCTTGGTCCCATCAACATCTGAGGCATAATTGGTGGTGACATGAGAGATAGGCATTCTCTCTTACCACAACATACAGGAGGAAGCCTGATAAAAGATTATGGATTGGATCCATACTTATGCTGCAATCCTAACCCCAGTTATTGGGGAGTCAGCCCCATTGAATTCAGCAGAACTTACCTCTGAGTTGACATGGTTAGGATTGCACCGTTAGTCATACATATCACCAGGCCATTGAAATAAATGAGGTTTAACCAGGACCAACTTAAGCACCATTGGTTTAAATGGGTCTGCTATCAGCATGACTAAGTCCTCACCTGGACTATAAACTTAAAGCAGTATGGTACCACCTTAAACAGTCACAACTTCCCCTAAAGAATCCTGGGAACTATAGCTTGTTGTGGGTGCTGTGAGCTGATAGGAGACCCCCTATTCCCCTCACAGTGCTACAATTCCCAGAGTTCCCTGGGAAGTGGGCTTGATGGTTAAACCACCCTTACCATCTTACCATGTATATGCTTTGTCTGCAAAACTGACACTGTTACAGGTGCCCTTTTCCTGGGATAAACCAATCTTTTAGTGTGGCAGCACCCACATTTTGGAACTCCTTTCCTATTGGCATCAGGCTGGTGCCTTCCTCATTCTTTTTTCAATATCTACTCATAGCATTTTTGTTAGGCAAGCCTTGCCATACATGTAAAATGTTGACAAGTATCTTAATCTGGTTTTCAGCTTCTTGTTGGTTTAAACTATTTTTTAGACGGTTGTTTCCGCTGTTGTTGTTTTCTTTACCAATAATTTTATTGTAAACCACTTTGAAAGGTTTCTTATTTCATGTTACAACCCAACAGTATTTGAATTTTGTGGAATAAATATATAAAATAATGTGTTCACACGAGGTGGCTGCAGAGTCCCCCTGCCTTGCATTTTGCCCTTGTGCAGCAGCAACACAA